GGGGCAATATGCTGACTCTGTAAACCGCTTAGAGAGGGCTGAAAGCCCTATGAAGCGGTATATAAGTCTAACTGCTATTGCTATTGCTAAGATGCAGCCAAATTTTCTCCCTCTTTTAGGGGGGGGGGAGTGCATCTTATACTCCGAAAAATATGGTAGGTTGAAGTGTGTGATACTGCAGATGAAGTATCCAAATCCTTGTAGATTCCAGAAAAAATGAATGCACCTCCGTTCATCTTTTCATTTCCCCCCCCCTTCAAATATTAAGAAAGGAATTGTGAAAATAATTATAGTAAGCGGGGGGATATAAATCTACTCATGTTGCAGGATGGGGCTTACCATGAAGATGTTGGCTACGGAGTAAGTGAAGGCTTGAAATCTAAGGCCTTGTCCCTTGAAAAAGCAAGGAAAGAGGCTGTCACAGATGGATTGAAGAGGGCACTAAAGTAAGAGTAACCAACGTATGCAATATTTTGTTGTTTTTGTTGTGAAATAGAGAATTATGTTTTAAGAAGCAGCCGTCTGTCTCTTCAGGTGCTTTGGTAATGCTCTTGGGAACTGTATTTTGGATAAGGACTACTTGCGCTCGGTGAATAAGCTCCCCCGGCAGGTATGTTGTGGGGGAGGAGGGACAGGGGGGAGGAGAGCAGGTTTCAAAGAAAGTAGAAATGCCAAATTCTGGAGTGATCATGAATTGTAACAATTAATAGTAACTTGCATCATTTATTCTTCTTCATAATCACCAGATTTCACCATTTGGCTTTTTCCTCTTAGAAATGTTCTCTCTTTTGTTCATTATTATTACTCAGAACTAAGCCAAAAGTATTATGTCATCATTCTAGCAGTATAAAACAAGTGGTTTTTTTTGACGTTATTTGGAATAAGATTCTGTAACCTGCACAAAAACACACGTACCTTCGTATAATTTTTATGCGGACTTTAAGAGTATGTTGTTTTCTACCTTAGGACCCTTTGGATAAATTATCTTGAACCTTGCAATCCATTTATTAATTTACCTAATAGTAAGGTTAATGGAACTTATGTTTATTTTTTGCATAATCATTTTTAAGATGACACCATAAGCTTCTAAAGATCCCTCTTTTAATATCTCTCGGCATTGCCATAAGATTAACCATGGTTTGTTCACTTTTTAAAACCTATAATTGGATAACTAGCCTAGTCTCAAATGTTCCCCTTTTAGGGAATGCTGTTGGCTGACAGCTACAAATGGCCCTCGATACAGTGGATTATCTGGATCCTTTTCAATCTGGGTTCGAACCAGAAAACAGCACTAAAACGGCACTGGCTGCACTAGTCAGTGACCTTTGGAGGGCTCAGAATGAAAATGGTGCAACCCATCTGGCCTTCCTTGCCCTCAGTGGCTTTTGATACCTTCCGCCATGGTATCTTGGCTTGGCTTGGAGAGCTGGGAGTGGGAGGAGGCATTGTGTTATGATGGTTCTCCTCCTTCCTCTGTGGCTGGTTCCAGTTGGTGTTGGCATAAGGCAGGAATCCCTAGGGCCACATAATGGAGTGAGCTCCCGTTACTTGTCCCAGCTTCTGCCAACCTAGCAGTTCGAAAGCATGTAAAAATGCAAGTAGAAAAACGGGGACCATCTTTGGTGGGAAGGTAACAGCGTTCTGTGCGCCTTTGGCGTTTAGTAATGCCGGCCACATGACCACAGAGACGTCTTTGGACAGCGCTGGCTCTTTGGCTTTGAAGCAGAGATGAGCAATGCCCCCTAGAGTCGGGAACGACTAGCATATATGTGTGAGGGGAACCTTTACCTTTATCTTCCTAACTTTCCATAAAGCACTGAAGGCCTATCTTTCCATCCAAGCTCTGGGATTAAAACAGCTGACTGCACATTGGAAGCTTGACTTGACCCCAGGTTTTTACACACACACTTGGTTTTAATAGTTTAATGTCAAGTGTAGGAAATCGGGAGTCAATGCAGTTCAAATGATTGCATGCTAATGCCCTCAAGAAGAGGTCAAAGCAAACAGGCGGTAGAGAAGACTCAACAGAATTCAAGGTGGGCTGGATTTAGATCTCATGTGGGCACAAAGGGACTCTAGACTGATGGTGCGCTTGACCCCTCCCTCGGGCACAGCATGGTCATCTACGTTTAATACGGTTTTTAATTTTTGATTGTGAACTGCCCAAAGTTTGCTATAAGATGGGTGTCTATATAAATCTTTCAAATAAATAAATTTCCTTAAAATCAAAAAAAGCCAAAGGTAATCTGCAGGGTACACGGCCCTAAGAATAATTGTAATTTGCTTTAAACATATAAATAACCCACATTAGCTCAGATTACAGCATTGGCTAAAAGTATGGTATGAAGGTGCAAATTCTGCATAAAACACCCCTTGTTTCCTGGGTAGCTTTACCTCGACTGGGATGGGGGTAGGGGGTATTTCCTGGGCAGCTTCCCCCTGATAAATTCTGTGAAATGCTTCTACTATTTTGTTAATTTCTCTATCTCAGGGTTCCCCAAACTTGGCAATTTTTAAGGCTTGTGGATTTCAACTCCCAGAATTCTCTAGCCAGCTCCGCTAAATATTGGGAAAGTTGCCAAGTTTGAAGACCTCTGCTCTACACCATTTGTCAGCTGTGACCAGGGGGGCATTTGCCCAGGTTCACCTGGTGCACCAGTTGCGTCCCTACCTGAAC